ACCATTTCAAGAGAGGCTATAATGTTCAAAGATGCATGTGGAAAAAATGCATGTGAAAGAATAAAATAGTTCCAGTGACAATAGAGAGGAAATAAGATTTAGCAAAGTTGTACTGCGCTGGAGTCCTGTCCCCTTCCTGAGGGCAGGCCCGCAGTGTCTCACGACAGGGCCCACATTTGACTGGAAGCTTCCAGCTGTCTGGAAGGAAAATGGCAGAAGGAAGACTCAGAGGGACCCACACATGCTAGCAGAGCTCAGGCTCAGGAGTGTTCAGGTTCTGAGATAGAAGCCAGCCAGTTGTCTTTGCGTTTATTCCAGCCCACGTCGACCCCATGTGTGGGACAGCTGTGCTCCATTGGGTTTTTCAGTGGCTGGTTTTCTGGAAGAAAAACCCAAAGGCCCTTCGAGTTGGATTCAAACAACCAACCTTTCAGATAACAGTTGAGCTTGAGGAAAGCTCCTCTTCTTCACCAACAACCCCTCAGCTTTCCTCCCTGGCTGCCCACAAAGATGTCACTTTAAGCCACCCTTCCTCTCATGCCCACTGGGCTTATGTGGCTTGTGTCTGTGTTAGTGCCTCTGTTTCCAGGCAGAACGAGTGAGTGTGTGCTCAGGGCTAGGTCATTAAAAGGCTTCACAAGGGACAGGATTACCTGGCTGCAAGGCTTTATCTACCTGCAGGACAGCATCACCATCATGCATGCTTCCTAGCTATCCAGTCACAATATTAAGGGCCTTCAAGAATGCCTTTCATTACACTCAGGGAAAGAAATATTTTTGAAAATACTGCTCCCCTACTAAGAAAACGGCATTTCTAAAACATTTCCATTGTTGTTGTTAGGTGCCATCGAGTCATCTGCGACGCATAGCAACCCTATGCACAACAGCCCTAAACCCTGCCAATCTCACCATCTCTGATACACCTACCCCTATTAACCCAGTCACTGACTCAATCCATCTTATTGAGAGTCTTCCTCTCCTGTGCTGTCCCGCCACCCTCCCAAGCATGGCGTCCCTCTCCAAGGACTGGTACCTCCTTGCAACATGACCAAAGTATGTCAGACAAAGCTTCAGAATCCTTGCCTCCAAGAATCAGCCTGGCTTCACCCTCTTCAGGACAAACCTGTTTGTTTTCTTAGCAGTCCATGGTATATTCAATACTCTTCTCCAACACTACAGCTCAAAGGCATTAATTTTCTTTCTATCATCCCTAGTCATTGTCCAGCACTCTGATGCATAGCAAGTAATTACAAAGACCATGGCATGTATCCGGCACACCTTAGTCTCCATACTGACATTGTTGCACCTCAGTACTTTAGAGAGGTCTCTAACTTCAGACTTTCCCATTGCAATACGCCTTTTAATTTCCTGGCTGCTGGTGCCAAGTGTTGACTGTGTAGCCAAGCAAACCAAAACTCTGAACAATCTCAATCTCTTCACCATCCATTGTGATGCTGCCAGTCAGCCCAGTGGTGAGAATCTTTGTTTTCTTGATATTGAGCCTTAAACCATACTAAAGACCCTAACCTTGCATAGCAAGTGCTTCAGAACCTCCTCAGTTTCAGCAAGCAGGGTTGTGTCATCTGCATAACATAGATTGTTGATGATCCTTCCTCCAATCCTGATGTCACATTTCTCCTCATAGAGCCCAGCCTCCTAGATGATCTGTTCTGCATAAAGATTGAAAAGGAATGGCGACTAGACACATCCCTGGTGTACGCCCTTCCCAAATTTGAACTATGCAGTGTTTCCCTGCTCTGTTCTAATGACTGCCTCCTGGTCCAAGTATAGGTTTCACATTAGCACAAACATGTGTTCTGGGATTCCTATTCTTCTCAGAGTCAACCACAGTTTGTTATGATCCACACAGTCAAATGCCTTTGCGTTATCAATGAAACAAAGATATTCTTTTGGTACTCTTTGCTTTCAGCCAAGATCCATCTAACATTAGCTACAATATCCTAGTACCACAACCCCGTCTAAACCCAGCCTGCACTTCTGGTAGTTCTCTGTTGTTCCAGTCATTTTTGGTTAATCTTCAGCAAAATCTCACCTGCGTGTGATATTAATGATATTGTTCGATAATTTCCAAAGTCTGTTGGATCACCTTTTTTTGGAATGGGAACAAATATAGATTTCTTCCAGTCAGTTGGCCAAGTGGTTGTTCTCCAGATTTCTTGGTACAACTTGGTGAGCACATCTAGAGCAACATCTCTTAGTTGAAATATGTCAGTTGGTATACCATCTATTCCAGGTGCCTTATTCTTAGCCAATTCTTTCAAAGCAGTCTGAACTTATTCCTTAATCACCAAAGATAGCCTCTTGCTCATATGTTGTTTTCATGAAATTTTTCTGTGTCTGCCAATTCCTTTTGGTATAATGACTGTATACTCTTTCCATCTTCTTTTAATACTTACAGGATCACTCAATATTCTGCAGCTTGAGGCTTAAATTTCCTCTTCAGTTCCTCGAGCTTAAGAAATGCTGAGCGAGTTCGACCTCTTTGATTTTCTGACTCCAACTCTTTGCACATTTCATTATAATACTTGACTTTGTCTTGTCACACAGCCTCTTGAAATCTCCTGTTCAGCTCCTTAATTGGAAAGATCTTTCATCTGCATTGTTCTGTAAAATGCTTGTCTGTCAGATACTTTTCTAATTCTGAGCATTCACATTAAGACAGACTAGGAAGGATTGGCCATCCACTTCCAAAATAGCAGGCTTTTGAAAACCCTACGTACAATAGAACACACTTAGACTAGCAGATAGAGCAACAGATGTGTAACATTTCATTTAGATGACATTAAAACTGTTGGATGATGAGGCCCTGACAAGAAAATGTTTTGAAATGCTTTTTCTAAAATCGGCTCTCATTGACTTGGGATCCATCTGAAGAAGTGACCCCTGTAAGACGTAGGACACTCAGCCCGGGGCCACCCAGCCCCTGGCCCCCCTTCACTGGGGAGGAAGCAAGAGATAACTGTGAAATGCAAGCTGTCAAGCTGGCCACAGACCACAGGTCACCAGGAGGTGACCCCTTTCACAGTGGAACAAAACACTGCCCACTCCAGTGCCAGCCAGTTGCAGTTAGGATCCCAGTGATGCATACATCTTCGTCAGCTGATGTTGGAAAGGCCGTCAGTCCAGCCCTCCAGGTTTATCTTAGCCTGAAAGCTCCTGTTTGTGTGCCATTGTAGCAGCCCACTGGCCAATGAGGAGGTGATGGCTTTGCGAGCAGGGCCCCAGCTGGGAATCAGATCTGGCTGGCTGGCTTGGAAGGGCAGAATTCTGCCGCAGAACCTCCATTGCCCCCTCTAGTCCATGGTGTACCTGAATTTCCCTTTCTACCTAGTTCTAAAAACTCAGCAAATCTTAATTAAGGCACGTGCGCACACACGCAAGTAGGTCTTACACTGGGCTTTCTCTCAGTGGAGGCCAGTCCATTCAGCCCGACGAGGTTCCCCTCTGCTTGCAGGTACAACTCACTGTGCTTTGGGACTTGTGGGTGACTTACCTCCTTCTGGTCCCTGTCCACCATCACAAGCATGTCCTGCTGACTGTCATGTGTGCCATGCTGAGTGTCCCTGCCACCACTCTTGCTTGAGTGTGAAACCCAGATGCCAGCCTCCTTTACTTACCAGTTTCTAGGTCTTCAGTTTCAGGATTCCCCCTGCCTCCCTCACCTGCAGGACACACCGAGGCGCCCAGCCTAGTGCACTCATTTCTACACAGCTGGACCTTTGACAACCTTGCCAGCCTTCTCCTCTCATGCCCTGGTTATACTAGGGATTCTCACTTACATTTGGTTTCCCCGTGTCACCATGCCTCTCAATGACATTTTTCCTCTAATTCCCAACTTTATGCACCCTCTTCTGTGTACCTGCGTCCAGCCTGCCTTCCCAGCAAGTTCTGCCACGCTGTGCTCACATGCAACCTGTGCTGGAGGGACCTGCAGCGCCTGTCTGTCTTTCTGTCTGTCTCTCCTTCTCTTCCCCTCGTCTCTCCCTTCCCCCCCCCCCCCCCTTCCCCCCCCCCCCGCCATTTTAAACTATGAGTAGTTCCAGAGTAGGTAGCATCTGACATGGCCGTCTCTAGACCCCCAGGAGAATCCGCATTTGGCAAATGCTTGTTGAATAAATTATCCATTGTGCACCACTCAGGCCTGATAACCAGCAGAAGCTGGGAGAAGGGCTATTTCTATAACTTTATGAGGAACAACTGTTCGACTTAACACTCTCATTTTCATGAGCCATGTTTCTTTTCCATTACGGCCCTTGATCATTTCATTCCAGGCTCATCCACCCCTAAAGCCACCAGGGCTGCCTCAGAGGGACAGAAAAGAGCCAGGCTTCCCTCATCATCTCGATAACCTGGCCCTAGCCCAGAGGGCAGTTCTCAGCGTAGATACAGAGGGAAGTAACTCAGGTCCTGATGGGCGTGGGGACATCCACCCAGGAGCCGGCTAATTTTATAGGCCGCTGCCTCATGCCAGCTTGCGGGCTGCCAGATCTCAATTCGACACCTTGTGCCTATCAACAGCCTGGCCCAGGCCTCAGCCTCGTTCGGAAAACCTTTTTCTCAAGGTTAAGAGTGGCCGACCTTTGACGAACGGCATGGGCCAAATCCCCCATCCCTTAAAAGGAAAGCCCTCAGTTGTCGATTGCCAGTTCTTATTTGGTGCTGAGACAGGATCACACCCTGCGCTGTGCGCTGTGTACCAGCAGGGGGGTTTGTAGCTGAAGGTGCGGTGGGGAACAGCTGTTACTAAAATAGCCAACTTTCAAAGTGTGGGCTGGGGAGGGAGCCTCCGGGGCTTTGGCCGGGCTGCACGGGGCCCATGTGATTAGACAACTTGTTGGCTCTCACCTGCTCCCTCGCAGGCAGCGGTGCCACCGCCCCACACACCACACTCTTCTTGATATGCATGCCACCAGAGAGCGGACAGAATGACCAGGACATATGCCAATGATTAAACGCCTGGACTTGTTCTTTTAATATAGGGGTGACGGTGCAAAGATCGACTTGGTTGGCAGTGCTGTCTCCGGCTTGCTGGACAAGGATCTCTCGGACCGCAGCAATGACATCGGTGAGTGGCGGGGAGCGCTGGGCTGCTCTGGCAGCTCTGAGCACCAGTGGGCCGGCTTGGCCCTTCCACAGCACATAATGCGACCCTCCAGATGCCAAACTGGTGCCTGCAGATGGTTGTTTGCTCTGCACTTTTGTAAAGAAGGGATGTTGAAGGCACTTTCCACATTAAAACAAAATGCCTGGCATTTTATTCTTCCTGGCCTTTGCAAAGTGCCAGTGAAAAGGAACGAGTAACCCTTTTTGTGAGTGTGGACACTCGCACTAATGTTCATGTTTTCCAGTGGTTTATGTGTTCAAGCGCAAAGGCTGAATGTCAGAGTTCATTGAAGATAGATCACTGTGTGTTCTCGATTCGTGTTTAAACTGAGCATCGGGTAATTACTGTTTCATTAAGAAAATTCACGCCAGTTCCCAAGGTCACACCACCCCCTGTGATAAACAGGATGGAGCAGAAGTCTCTGTGGGTGAACAGCCCCAGGTTCTTGTGGTGAGGACCTTGTGCATGTTGGGTGAGGATGCAAGTGCTGCGTGCGTGCGTGCTGCGTGTGTGCTGCGTGCATGCGTGCTGCGTGCGTGCGTGCGTGCTTGCCGGCGGGTAGGCGTGCGTGCTGGACTCGGACCTGACATGCTTGTTGGGTGGCATCTCCTTTCGTGAGTACAGGTTCCACTTTTAAATTTTTGATCTGTACATCTTTCGTTTGTTCCTGTCATGGTCTTGAGTTAGTATCTCATGTTTTATATAATCCAGAGAGCAACATTTTGAAGTCTGCCTTTTCTTTCCACTAAGCTGTATCTTTAAATAATTGTAGATTTACTTGCAAATTCAGACATATTACCCGATTTCCCCCAAGGATAAAATTTTGTAAAGTTCTAATACACTGTAACAATCAGGATGTTTATTGACAGTGATATAACAGACTCTGTTCCAATCTTACTCTTCCCAGTCCTTCTAGTACATGAGAGTGGGCGTAGTTCCGTAGTTTTACAGTGCGGTCGTGTGTCTGCCACCACATTCAGGGTACAGAACATAGCCAGCTCCACCAGGACAAGTTGCTCTTTTGTAACCGTCCCCACCCCAATCCTCCTCTCCCATCCTAATCTCTGGCCACCACTGTCAAGGATTGACCTGACATGGAAGATTCCAGCACTGATCTGCATTGGTCATTCAATTCTGAAACAGGTGCTGCACATTTTCAGGCCTGTAGAGAGGGACTGACAGGAAGGACCTCTCTTTGCCTGGCATCACTCTTCTGTTTCAGTGGCATGTTCTTCTGAACCTGCTCATCATGTTGCCCCTTTGCAACTGCCTATATCAGGTCTGATCTTGCAACAGCTTTGGGGCAGGATATACAGTTGCAACTGTAAATACCAAAAGTCACTACCCTATTTCCAGAAACAGTTTGACATCCTCTTTCAGCCTTTGAGAAGGCCGTCAGAAAGTGTCACCCAGAGCTTCTGGCTGCTTAACTGACGCAGTCACAACCGGCACGCTGGCCTGCTGTGGCTTGTGACCCAGCAAAAGGCAGGGGAGAGCAGAGTTTGAGCTGGCTGCAGATAAAGAAGGAATCATCAGATTGTTTGTGTGGCAGAGGTTTGGCTAAATGTATTTTTAGCACAGTTAAGAAGAACCACCAGAATCAGGCTGGTTGAGTTCTGGTTCTCTTAACCGTGGTGTAGCATTTGGGTCCTGTTGTGAGCCACAGTGGCCAATGAAGTTGACGTGGGTGTCTCCAAGAAGAGAGTTTCTTCCACCTCCAGAATACACAGGGCACTATGTCCTGCATGTAAAGAAAGTTGATCTTTGACCCTTAGTTTCTTTGGGTTGGATGATAACTCTGATGGTGGCCTAGTGGTAAGAAACTCTCTGCAATGTCAGAGGTACGCGGTTCAAACCCCTCAGCTGCTCTGTGGGAAAAGGATGGGCAGTTGACTCCCATGCAATTTCCTACCATTGAAAACCTACTGGAAGGCCAGCTGCAGGTTGATTCTGACTCAGTGGCACACAACAACAACAACATGGCATAGCCAACATATGAGTCACTTGTTTTTTCAATTCACAAAGCTATTTTTGGACACTGAGAATTTTAGTTTGTAAGAGTTTGATTATGTAAATTAAGTACAGGTTGTGTGCACATCCAAAATCCCAGAGAAACGATGCAGAAGTTTGGCTCTTCTTGGCCATTAAATACTGGCGTGAACAACACGCATCCAGAAACTCTTTGAACTTTGATAAATGTCGATAGTTGTAGAGGGGCTTCAGGCCTTTTGTTCATAGGGTCACTATGAGTTGTGCTTGACTCGAAGGCAATCAACTACAACAGCAACAACTACTTTGTGCAAAGGGCCTCACAACCAAACCTTGCCTTCCAGGGACCTTTGGCTCGTTTGGGCCCCTAAGGTGACAAATGAAAAATGAGGTAACACTGAAGGCCTTTGCAGATGACAGATGAGTTGGTGTGGGTACTTCAGGACAAAGCGCTGATCGTGGGCCTGGATGACACCATATCAGCTGGGAAGCCTCCACTGACTGATGGCTGGGGGCTGCACCTGTGGGGCGTTGGCCAGGGTCTTTTGTCTGGAAGATGGGAATTCTACCCCTGCCCCATGACTAATGAGTAGCAGGGGGAAAGGCCGCTTAGAGGTGGGGATGCTTCTTGGGGGCCAGGATGTCAGGGATCCTATCATGAAGGGGACAGATTTCTCTTAAAGGTGAATTTGCCCAGGCGGGGGGCGGGGGTGATGGCAGGCAGGCGTGCTGCAAAGCGTTACAAAGCTCACCTGTCTGACTGCAGTACTGTGTACTGGGGTGGACCAGGAGTCGATCTGGAAGCATAAGTGGGAACTGAGTTTGAAGTATGTAAAGTTCTCATTTATTTTGTAGGCAGTGAGACCTATTGATAATTGGCACTGATGTGATCCCATCTGGAAATTCAAATAGTAACTGATGGAACTTTGTGGAGCTGATCAGATAAGAAGGGTGGGTGTCAAGAATTGAGGTTATTTGGTGGTTTTAACCAAAAATAGTAAGCACGTCAAATCTGTGGTGTTGGAGAAGAACACTAAATATTCTGTGGACAGGCAAAAATCCCCAAAGATGTCTTAGAAAAGGTCCAGCAAAAGAGTTCTTTGAAGGCAAGGATGGTGAAGCTTCATCTCATATACTTAGGGAATGTTGCTGGGAGAGGCTATCATGCTTGGAAAGTGAAGGGTCAGCAAAAGAGAGGAAGACCCTCAACCAGGTGGATTGACAGAGTGACTGCAGTGATGGGTTTGAGTGTGTCAGAGAGTGTGAGAGTGGCACAGGATAGGACAGGGCTCAGATCTGTTGTTCATAGGGTTCCTGTGAGTCCTAGTCAACCCACTGGCACCTAAGAATAACAATTTACGCAGACTCAGTAAAACATCACTTCTACCTGCTTCCTCACATTGTCTTCCAGAAACATATAGAATCACGGTGATGGGCTGTAAATACATACAACTGCTTTATTTATTATTATTATTATTATTATTATCATTATTATTGTGTGGGTGAACCAACTCATAGCTGACCCTCCATTGGGCTTTTCAGGGGCTCTATGTCACTTGGGAAGAGAATGCTCATCTCTGGTGGCTTTGTAGGTAAGGCCTTGTGCTGATAACTAAAGGCGGGGAGGTGAAATCCTAAAATCCCCCAGCTGCTCCTGCGGAGGAAGATGGCAGCCTCCTCCTGTGCACATCACAGCCTCTGAAAACTCACTGGAGGGTCATCATGGAGCACTTTGAGAACTGTTTAGTAATGTTGTTTGTGTGGACGTGAGAGTCAGATCAGGAAAGCAAGTTCCCACTGTGAGAGAAGAGACAGAAACCCTGGACATAGTCCACATTTTAAGGGAAAAGGGGGATCTTAGACAGTCACAGAGGTCAGCAGAGGACAGGTTACTCAGCAAAATGTTCCCTGCAGGCACGCAGGCCCAGGTGAACAGGGAAGGCGCCCTTCTCAACAATGTTAGTTCATTGCTTTTAATCACGGAGGAAATTATTTGTACCAGGGAATCTTTTGTGTGAGTGATTCAGACAATTGATGCTGTCCATATGTGGACTGTGGTGAATGGCACACTACCACCGTGAAAGCCTTAGAAGCCATCATTAGCTATAAATAAGTCTCTGTTTCCTCTTCATCAAGCTATAGTTTAAAATTATTATCGTATGAAATTACAGAACATGGAGTTTTTAGATCGAATGTGGGCAGCTACCAGCATCTGTCAGCCAGCAATTAGTGAGAATGGAATCAATTAGTCCAAAATGAAGTTGTTGATGTCAGTCTGAGATACCAGACTCCATAGCCATGTCTCACGTGACGTAATAGAAAACGTGGAAGAGCTCCAGTGCAGGACTGCACATGAATAGAAAATGAAATTGTCCTTTCATTTTCAAATGAAAAAGTTTGTTCTTTCTGACGCAAAAACCTGTGTTCTGATTGAATGGAAGATTACAGGCCGTGAAGTGAGATATCATAGCATTTGCTTTCACTAGTTGCCACCGAGTGGCAGGGTTTTTGTTACTCTTAGTCAAGTCCTTCATTCCTCTACCAAGAAAGCACACGACAACTACCCGTCTCCTTACTGGAAGCCGACATTGAGCTAAACTGTTTCCTGCGCACCACCTGACCTACAGAATGTTCCTCCTCATGTGCTTAGAGAACTTGGCTTTTATCGGGGTGTTTTTTGTTGTCCAGTTTGGATCTCATCCAAACTCTTCCCAATCACAGCTCTTTTTGCAGCAAGCATCATGTCAGCTTGGTGGGGATACCCAACACAGTTTTCTGTCAGCGTGAACAAGCTGGACCATTTTCCTTGCGATGCGTGTACTTTACAAGATGGGCAGTGGATTGGGGAGTGTTGCTCAGCACAGAGCAGGTTGGGAAGAGATAAAGGCTAACTTCAGCTCATCAGGAGATGCCATTTGTGCCTCCAGCCCTGTAGTTCCTTAGGACCTGTAGGCAAAGAAGCACTCGCTTGT